TGTCAAAACAACTCGTTATTGTACTGTCTGTGCCAAGGTCTTGAGAGTCAGTACATTTATTTATATTTGCTCACCAGACCACTATAACTACTTAGTATCAGTGTTCACCTCTCCCAGAAGACAAGCATTGCTGACATGATGCTCTGGATTCTGCATCAGCTGCCGCACTTGGTCGTTTAAATGCTTTATTTGGACCATGGCCCTGGCACAAGTACCTCCAGGCTCACAGTAGAGTCCTTTATTGTAATATTTCCATTGTTATTTAGTGTGCTTAAAGCAAGGCAATATCTTGTGTTCAATATAGTGGTACACACCAGTAATGGCAACACAGGAGGCAAAAGCAGGGTGATTATGAATTCCATGACTGCTTGGACTATACTGGGGGAGGGAGAGAGGAAGGAAAAGCATGACAGAGGTACAGGACAGGGGAAGGAAGACAAAAACAAACAAACAGATGGACAGAGGGATGGATGGATGAGGGACAGATAGACGAAGGAGGGAGGGAGTGAGGGAAGAAAGGAAGGAAGGAAAAGAAAAAGAGAGAAAGGAAGGGAAGGAAGGAATAAAAGTAGGGTTACTTGCACTCTAGCTTCCTACAGGGTCTAGAATCTATTCACACATGATTCCCATAATTAGTAGTGTCACCCAGAAATTTCTAGAGAGGTAAAGTGGCATTCAACTGCTTCCTCCACAAGATCATTACATAATATGACACCAAATTATCATTTTACTTTATAAATTGTGTCTTTGAAATTTCTACTTCTATCATTCCATGAAAGACAAACATCTAACAGCACCTTGAGAATGCAGAACCTTAGCCACAGATGGGACATTAAGTAGGGTCCACTGTAGTGATATCTTGTTCATACTCTAACAAATAAAGCTTGTCTGACTATCAGAGAGAAGAGCTAGTCACTAGCTAACCATAGAGATCTGGAGGTCTGTACAGACAGACAGGAAGTGACATGACTAGGCAGAGAGAGGAAGTGATAAGGCCTAAGGAGGCAGGCTAGGAAGCTAGGGAGGTAAGGTGTGGTTGTGGCTTGCTCCTTCTCTCTGCTCTTTCAGCATTTCCCCCTGGGCTTTTATTCACAAGACCTATTAGAACTTGTACTACAGCCCATCTTACATTTGCAGATGAAAAGACTTTAGGGAACACAGTTGCTACTTGGCCAAGGTCACACATTGGTTACAAAGAGGCAGAATAAAAATTGCTTTTAGTGACTCCCAAGATCCCTTTCTCACTCATAGTGCTGCCTCCTCTGACTAATAAAACACCCCAGTTTATATAGCCTCATGTTTTAAGAAGCCTGCCATGTTTTTGTAGCTGACATTTTACTTTATCAGTTCTAATGTGGTTGGAGCATTTATTTATTTTTTTTTAGTAGTGGCTTAGGTTTTCTTTCAGATACTGAGAGAGATTAAGCCCAAAGACACAGTGTGCAGCATACTTAATGTCAACTGTGCTTGCTGCCAGAAGGATCAAGAATGGAAAGAAAGCTGCAAACAAAAGCTGGCCTAGGAACAACTCTGCAACCTGCTTTGCTTGAGAAGTTTACTGAAGATAAGTAGATATCGTCCTTCTAGACCAGGGTTAAGTGTGCAGGGTTCTTTGTCATCACACTGCCTTGTGACTTAGCAGTTCTACATCCAAAAAGCTCTCTAAATGCCCATAAAGAAAACTAAAAATTTATAGTCTGTGTGTCCTGGAGGAAGCCATCTTGGCATAAATGATATCATCAAGAATAATGAAAAAAAAACACTCCTTAAATTGCCATTGGTATTACAGCATTTTATTATAGCTTGCTTTAAGATGATTTAATACTTATGCCCTTTTATTACAGACTATTCTAATATTAGTTAATATTTGGGTCCTTTCCATATAGGATAAATTTACTTTTGATTAACCAAATTAATTTGTAAAAGACAGAACCTTATAAATATTCTTGACCTCCAAAAACAAGGGGCTATATATAAGAATAATGAATTTAGTGCTAAAATTTCCAAAGCTGATAAAGAAGCTGTAGCATTATTCCCTATTTATGTGATAGATTTTATTTAGTTTTATGTGTTGGAAGAGTTTCCAGTTCCTAAGACCTAGGACTCTGCAATTAAATGCTACATTTTACAACTTCTTTGTTGTTATTGTCCTCAGATCATTCCTTATAACCTAGAGATATGTGGCCTGATAAAGATGCAGGTGAAATTCTCTGTGTAATGATGATTAGCTTTAGATACATTTCAAATATGGTAACTGGATAGCAGTTTTTCCTGATAGCTTCAGCAGCTGAATACTCCAACAAAGTTGGTGTTTGTCACCAAATGAGAGTAGGTATCTTGATCTTCTCCAAATAATAGCTGATTTTTCTTTCATTGCCTGGTTACATCTATCACTTAGAACTCAACTCACTGGCCCCAAAAGAAAGCCCAGTGTGGATAATTCCAAGGCAGACTAAGGAAATAGGACACATATTTCATGATGTCCCACTGATCTAAACATAGCTAAGCTGCACTACCACCAACAATAAGAAAAATGCTGACCATTCTCCAAACGTGAGAGAATGGATTCTTCTTTCTCATGGACCCAACAGTACACACACACGTACACACACACACACACACACACACACACACACACACACACACAATCACTCCACTCTCCACTTTCAAACAGACACTTTAGCATCTTGGGAGAAGTGAGAAACTTCATCATTCCTCTTTCCCTGAGAAGAAGAGTACTAGTGTTAATACTTGCTCCTGTCTTATCTATTCTCTTTGAGCCCTAATCTCTGAATATGAGGCCAGTTGTCTTTCAAGCTGAAGGACCTGTTCAATTTGTGTTTACTGACCTAGAACTTGAGTGCTGATGGAAACCAATATATAATGGAATTTTATTGACATCCACAGTGAAAATAAATTAGCTGCTTGAAAAGAAAGTTGAATATGCCATCTACTTTGAGGAATCAAAAATATCCTATTTCACCTTGTACAATGTCAAAGCCAGGCCACCTGTGAGTCGTTCAAAAGTATGTGCCAACTGATAATAAAGTATGCATTGACATGCTGAATAAGAAGTCAACAGTTCTCTAAGCCTGTTTTCCCATTGGATTATTGCTTGATTAAAGAAAATCACTTCATTTTTATTTCATTCAATTCATATTCTAACAGAAGATTCTACTCCTCAATGTTGTGAAAAAAACCCAAGGCCACTAACAAAGCCTTGGCTGCATAGGGTGCTGTTGAGCTTAATAAAGAAGAGACTTGTTGAGCTTAATAAAGAAGAGACTAGCATGTGTCTATGTATTCAATTCTATCGTCATGAAGTTTCTCAAGGATTTTTAGAAACTGAAACAGGGCTGATAATATAACTTAAAATTTTAAATATTCTTGGGTGTGGGAGATAAAATTCTAGGAGAAAGTATGACCTGGGACACCCAAGGTTTTAATAAAAGGCTACAGGGTGAAGGCAGTGTGGGACAACAGTCCTGGGCCTGTATCATTCCTTCATTCACCAGCTTACAGAATAACCACATAGGTCCAGAAAAATGAGGAAGATTACTATGCAAACACAATTGAATCCAATCTCTGCCCCTGTAAGGGTACAACACAGCTGCCCTTAAGTGTAGATTATGTAGAAACTCTGGGAGCCACCACCGTCTAGTCTAATAGTGCTTAGAAACTAATGATAGAAAAGTTATGAAGAAGTCTTCTGTGGTTATCAGAGATCACTCAAAGCTTCACCATCTCTCAAAAAGTCTTGAATTGAAACAGTACATACAATGACCATTCTGTCACTAGTGTAGTTAAGTTCTTATGTAATATTGGCCATATAAAGTGAATTATTAAACACTCAATTTGTAAGCTCTGTCTCATGTTTTTGTACAGCATCCTGTATGAAGTAGACACAATTGTTCCTTCATTTTAATCATTGAACAAACTTAATCTAAAAGAGTACAAGTGACTTTCCAAACATTGCATAGCAATAGCTTAAGTGAGAGGACAGTGCAAGTCCTCTCCTTAGTCAACCGAAGCCTGGCAACCTTGAGAAATGGAACATGCGTATTTTCAGAGCCTGTGCACATGTGTTTTGATGGCTTCTGGGAAGCTAAATGTGAAAATTACTTGGCTTGTACAGGACAGAAACATGTTTACTCTATTTCCTGAGGTGTAGGCTATTGACAGAAACTGGACCCTGGAGAAGGGAAGCACTTGAGTTAAAGACAAAGAAACAAACAAAAAAACACCTAACCTGCATGGAATATTCAGCTTACTTGCAGCTAAGTATGAGGGCCTTAGAGGCACAGGCAGACTGGCCATGACTCAGGCTTCACAGAAAGAAGTCTCTACATCTGGCCTATTGAAGGTTGAATATACTATTGCCTGGTAAGATCAAGGGATGGAAACTCCTGGACACATGGTTTCCTGGGAGCCTTCATCCCTGTGGTTCCAGTATGATGCCAATCAGGCCTGCATTTGGGGTTGACTGACAGGAACTGATGGGAATTTGTTCAAACAATTTTCCTGTAATAACAGTCAAGTGCATAGAAACTGTAAGAGCTCCTGGTTAGTTAAATGCCAGCAACGGGAAGTCTGGCACACATGCTGTTACTTGGATAATAAGTATGCATATTTCCCCAATTATATTTGGGCCAACACTAAGGTCCAGGCAACTAAGAAGCAAAGGGAGTCAACTGGAAATTACCAAAGGGTTGGTTTGCCTGAAGGTTTCTAACAGTAAATATCATTCCAAATAAAAACAGGAGGAGAAACAGCCAAATTCATTTTGCCACTGGAGTTCTTTGGGTGTTTAGGCTCTGTAATATACTTACTGTTAATGTGATTAAAATGGAGGCATTCAGACTTAAATGGTTGTTAGAATAAATTAGAGACATCAAAATTGGCAGGGTTTAGATTTTGGAGAACTCCATTCTGTCAGCCTTCCCTGGAATTTAACCACTCCAATATTAAGCTATTGTTTTTCACGATGTGAAAATTGGCAGTGAACAAAATCAACAGAGTCACGGCTTTGGAGAGAAATCCGATGAATCCCAGCAAAGGGCTGGTGCCTAAGAACTCCTTGCTTAGAAGACCAGAGCTAAAAACAGCTATTACTCAGGTAAGCCATGCTAAAGAAATAGGTGTTTCCCACATCCATGTTCTTTGCATGTTTTTCCCTCATGTATGTGTGCAAATACACATTTATGGGTATATGAACGCCAGCTATACCATTAAGGTTTGTAATTGCTGATGGAATATTAGGTGCTGTTTATTCTTAGAAACCAGTAAGAAAGGGTTAAAATTCAGCAAATGGCATCATAAATACATCTCCTGGTTTGCTTTCAGATACTATGTTCATGTCACTTGTGGTACATGTACACATACACCCCTCTGACTTACCTCATTTATTCTCACACATGGTGACATTTTGGCTGCCTGGGGAACAAGCAGAAAGCATCTCATTAGAGTGAGGCTACCCACTTTGAGATCTGTCAAGACAGTCTTAGTATTTTCTACTTCGTTAGATTTATAATGACCTAGGAATCAGTCCCCCCACCCCCCGCTTTTCTGGGTGTGTCTGCAATTGTAAATCCATAGGGATTAACTAAGGATGTGAGCCCATGCTAAACAGGTAAGTAGTAGCAGCATCCATTGGGCTGGGAACTGGATAGAATAAAGAAGAAAAACAAAAGCCCAGTGAAGTACTCACACTTCCCTGTCTCTGTTTCTTGTCTAAAATGAGGGATAGAAAGAATGTCCTCTGCCATCATAATATCCTGCTCAAATACATTGGACCAAACAACCAATGACTAAGCCCTTGAACTCATGAGAAAAAACAAACCCTTTCTTAAATTGTTTATGTCATATATTTTTACCATACTTAAGAGCAGTAAGTAATCCAACCAGGTGAGTTCAAAGTCAATCTTTGAAGAATGCTCACTGGGTGTTCCCTCATGATGGTGATTATGCCTCACACTTCTGTTCTTTGTTTCTTGGTTTTTATTTCACATGCTCAGACTTGGTAAATTCACATTGAAAGTACTGAAAATTTGGGGATTGGCATGTTGGCCAATAGATTAATAAGAAGTTCTGGGTAGGCTATTTCCCAGAGACTATAACATCTTTCCCTCATAACACACACAAACACACACACACACCACACCTGGACACATGCTGACACTAATATACAGCGTCATACAGAACTTTATCAGTGTTTCTTTGTGTGTGTGTCCCCCAAACTGGAAACAACATTCACTTTTAGTATGTTTTAAAGATTTCCCTGCAGGTTATTCAAACAGTAACTCTGAAAAGAATACATCAAAGGCCACATTCAGATTGTCTTTTGAATGATGCCCTTGCCAGCCATGAAAATGAATTCTTTCCCAAGTGCCCAGGGGCAGTACTAAAAAAGAATCAGGCACTGACCTTAATGAAAATCCAGTTCTAGGACTAGAAGCAATTTAATATACTGTATCTTTCCTCTGAGGCCATGACTGTATCTCAAGAAGGCTCTAGCAAACAATACTTAGGAGTGAAAAGGACCATATGTAAAATATCTACTGGGAAAAGATCTTTGCCTTACACCATTCCTGTACAAAGGAGAAAATTAAGTCTTTGTTTTGTATGACATATCAATCATGAGCCATTTCCCTGGTCAGGAAAGAGCAGAATGAGCTATCTAGAGGTCTGGAGTTCTGGTCAACCATGACCTTGATTCTGTCTAGTTTCTGACATTGGCTAAGTCACGTCTTTGATTCAAGATTTTTATCTGTAAAATTAGCATGAACATATCAGCTTCCAAATTGTTGTGGCTGAAGACCACCAAAGAAGATGACTTTTAGATGTCAAAATGATTTGAAATGAAGCTTCCTTACAAACTTGTCTTAAGATGTCAGGGATGCACACAGAGGAAAACTGCATGCACACTAAGAAGGGCAGTTTAGTGAAGAAGCAGCAGCCAAGCAAGGAGGGAGAGGGGTCTCACACAGAGGCAAAGTCAGTTGCATGCATGTAAGCTGACTCCCAAATGCCCACTTGGGTTGAATGCCCACAGGGCCAATTTGAGATGAGTATCTAGTCTGCTAATGTGTGTTGTGGTTTTCAGTGTTGAGGAACTTCTATTTCTCCTCCTGTATTATTTGATGCAGCTGCCTATAAAGTTCACCTGCTTGATCAATCCCCCTTTTAGTGCTAATGTAATGAAAATGATGACTTCAAAATGATCCAAAACATTAGTTGATTCTCCAGCTGGCTGTAATTCTGAGTCTGTCACCTTAAAATCCATAGTAAAGTCTGTTGTCGATAGAGCTCTCTCACAAGAGCACAGGGCTGGGATCTGATCAGGGGAGAACTTCAAATGAAGGTGGTAATTTTGATTAAACCTTACCAATGGAGAGACAGGAAGCTACACTCTGCTCTCAGATGCTGACAGGAGCAAGATTCCTTCTGAGAATCAGGGACTGCACACTGATGTGCTTTAGAAAACATTCGAAGGTTTCTAAATTGCTAATCTACTCAGTGTCCCCAAGATATGCAGTCCTTCTGAAATAGTTCATGCATTTCACTCCCATTTATTATTCATTTAGGTCTTATGCTTCATCCTTGCCTAATATGAGTATGTTTCTAGGCACACATTCAACGTGGACATTTTTGCATTTTAGCGTATTTAAACAGGAATCTGTGCCCATATATGGATGTGTATATGTATATGCATATAGATGCATTGGTTCTCCATGAATACTGAAATTCATATTGTGGGAGGATGATTAGTGCCATCTCGTGGAGAGTGGAGAGCCCTACCATTACAGTTTTCAAATTTCCTCTACTTAGAAAACATTTCTTTAAAATTCCAAACCACTGTTCTTTGGAGTAAACGTTTTCGTCTTCTCCTTTCAGGCCGCTTGTATAAATAACAAATGTCTTCTGAGTAGACATCACGTGGTCCAATGTGTCATGATGCATCTGAGAGAATGGATACAGAGATTGTGGTGAGTCAGCAGAAAATAAATTCACTGCTGACCAACTCAAGCAAAAACTTAAAAGTAGTGACTACCCATAATATATAGACTCCAGGTCTCAGGTTTATCTTGTGACCATTATATAGCCCCATTATATTGTTTATATTCTGATTGTTCATGCACAAGTATTCCAGATGTATATGTTCATAAACTGGCATCATAATCTATTAGTTTATCTTTAAGTGTAGCCTGCAAGTAATACTATTGAATCAGTTGCTTAAGATACTTATGTAGATACATGCTTGCTCATAGTCTGTTGTAGATATATACTGTTTTAGTTTAATGTATTAGTGTCACTGTAGTCAAGATTCTAAATTCATATTACAGGGACTGGCGAAAATCCATAGGAAAAACAGACTTCTATTAAACATTACAAGAGCATAGTTAACTGGTAGGTGTTCATGACTTCTCATATTTTAATACCTGTTGCATGAACAGGAGTGGGTAAAGACAGCCCTCCTAGGGCTGTTGACAATAAGTAGAAAATATGAGAGCAGTGGGAGGAGTTTAAATGTATTCTTTCATCCATACGATCAACAAATATGAAAGCTGGTTCTGTGTACAGTACTGCGCTAGAGTTATCACAAGGGATGCTTCAGGGAGGAATAGACCAGGATGTCTGCTCCCGGGGGACTTGTGTTCTACTAGAATAATATGGAAAACAGGTGAGTAAAATGTGCTGTTTGTTATAATATCCAAGAACTATGATCCTTAAGAAATGGAAGGGAACCATGGGGAGAAAAAAACAAAAACAGATGAAGGTGATGTCAAGAGATAACAAGGAACTCAATCTTTGCTGCTGTGCTGTTGCTGGGTTTCCTTTCCCAGCCAGGTCCCACCGCCCTTCTCAGACCCAAAGAAATACACGGACACTGTATTAGCTATAGAACTGTTGCAGATGACTAGGGCTTCTTATTGGCTAGCTCTGTCTTAATTATTAACCCATTTCTATTAATCTGAGTATTTCCACGTGATCTTTACTTACTGGAGGAGGGTTCGGACCTCTAACTCCTTTGGCGGCTCACATGGCAACTCTTCTGGTCTGCCCTCTCAGCCTATATTTCCCAGAATACTCCCCTCTCCTAGTCCTGTCTATCTTCCTGCCTTATTGGCCAACAGTGTTTTATTCATCAACCAATAAGAGAAACATACATAAAGAAGGAATCCTCCATCACTGTGTTGTACACAGAGCATAAATGAGTGATGGACTGTCCTGGAGTCGAGCGGACTTTAATCATGAGTAACAGAGAAGGTCAAAGCATTACTTCCAAAGCTGAACCTCCCTAGCTAGAGTGAATTAAGTGGGACACAGTGCTGGGGTTCAGTAGTCTCCTCACTGGAAAATCACACAGTTGAAGCTGTGTTCAGCTTGGCTGGGCTTTTTGTTTGTTCGGTTGCATGGTTAGTTCGGTTTGGTTTGACTCAGCATCCACAGTTTTCACATATCCTGTCACAGCCTTTGTGAACTGCTGGATCTTTTCTCCATCTCCCCTCTGGAGGATAGAGTCTCATCTTTTATATTCTGATGTTGTTCTTCTTCTTTGGTTCACAAGGAGGCAGCCTCTTGTCCACCATCTTATCGGGAAGTCTAAGATTATTTTACTCCAAATGAGGTGCACTGGGTTGCTTTGCATTTTTTTCAGGAAATGGTTTGCTGGGATCTTGTCATAGTCAGCTTCAGTTGTCAGCTTGACACCCTGGGAAGAGGCAACCACTATTGAGAAACTGCCTCCATTGCATCTGCTTTTGTGCATGTGTGTGGGGTGTATTATTAACTGATAGAGGAGGTACCAGACCACCGTGAGTGGTGCCATCTGTAGACAGGTAGACCTCTAAGGAAGACACCTGGACAAGCCAGTAAACACTTTCCTCCGTGGGCTTGGCTTCAGTTCCTTCTTCCAGGTTCCTGCCTTGAGCTCCCAGCATGGCCACCTCATTGATGAACAGTATCCTATAATCAAATAGAACCTCTATCCCCTATGTGTGTGGCCAGCGTCTTATCACAGCAACAGAGAAGTATTATCATCTTAACGATAGTGTTCAAGGCTCATGGTGTTGTCTCAGATAGCGTAGCCTTTTATCTGAATCCCAGTTTTGTCCCGGCTTAGATGGCGTCCACTTATTTAGCAATGCTACACTGAATTGCCTATGGTTTATTTCAAGCCATCCCACTAAATATATTCTCCTCATGAATTCCTTTAAAACCAGTTGTTCTTCATCCTTAAAATGTATTTCATTTAAATTTACTTTTTAAAGATTTATGTATTTTTAGTTTATGTGTGTGGGTGTTTTTCATGCCTGTATGTATGTGTACCATGTGTATGTAGCACCTTGAGAGGCCATAGGAGAGAGTCAGATTGCCTAAAATTGGAGTTATAGATGGGTGTGCTGAAATTCAAACCCAGGTCCTCTGGAAGAGCAGCCAGTGCTCTTAACTACCGAACCATCTCTTCAAACCCTACATTTAATTTTAAAGGCATTAATTTAAGAGTCAATAGACACTACTGTATTTATGCTGACAGAAAGTCATTTTCTTAGTAACAGTATGTCCATTCATCCTTTCAGGATGGTTTTGAATGTTGGTGAAGGCAGTGGTACACTGAACAAAAAGAGGCATTTGATAAAATGGCTGAAATGAAAGAAGAACAAGATTTATTCTGTTATTCTATTATTTTAATGCTGCTTCAAGCTTTCCAAAATAAAAAGGAAGATTTATCTTCATTCTTATCATCTCATCTTGTAACAGTACAGCATAAATCTTGCTGAAGTCAAAATGCATTATTTCAAAAACATCCAAAGTCTTTCAAATTGGAAGTGAGCACTGAAATATTAAGAAGAGATGTGTTCCAGTTTGGGACTGAGCACTTTGTACACTCTCATTCCCTGCAAGCTGACCAGCTGAGGGTCTCTGCATTAATTGCCATCTATTTCAAGGAGAAGCTTCTCTGATGAGAGATGTGCTGATCTATGGTCACATCAATAAATCATTGGAAGCTGTTTGGCTATTCCATTTAGCAGAATCAGAGCATTGGGTTCTTTCCTGGGGCCTATGACCTATCTAGTCATGGGCTCCTGGGCCCTTTAACAGCAACAGCCAGAGGTGGCTGAAAACCATGTTATTCAGCCAGATGTGGTGGCAAACAGTGTTATCCAGGTACAAGAGAAGAGTTGGACATACGAACTCCAAGCAGTTGTGACAGAATGAACAGGACCTGGGCAAGCTCCAGTCAGATAAAATCCCAGCATAGGAAAGGTGCACACAATTATTAAATTTGGATAGCTACTGGGAGAGGGAGAGTCTGCCTTCTTCAACAATTTAACCCAAACGCCACAAAAGGTTACCCACACACCATGGTACATCTCACTCCCAAAACTAGCTGGGTAACATAAACTCTCAAAGAGGAAATCACAAAATTTAGTGGAACGGATAGGAGGAAGAGGGCAGTTATGGAAGGAGTTGAGGGAGGGGGTTAGATATGTTTAAAATACATTGTTTGATTTTCTCGAAGAATTAATAAAACTATTGCTTAAAATTAAGGAAAATAACTAGATTATATCTCAGTAGTGGAGCACTTCCACAGTATATAAAAAATTGATATGTAATACCCCCTACCTTGAAATCCAACAATCAATAGATTTTTGAACATTGCCAAGATCTCCATTATCTTTGTTTCCCAATATGGCTGTGACTTTATAACATATATCAGTATTGTCTTAGAAAAAAAACAGGACTTCCAAATAAGATGGCAGATCGTGAGTTGCCTCTATGTGACATGGTGAAAGAGAAAAGTTAGGATATGAAAGAATCAACTCTATCCTAAAGAAAGACAGAGAAGAAAAGGGAATGATAGGAAGTATGATAGGTGTGGAGACCCAAAAGAATATCAGCCAAAGGAACCCATGAAGCCCCAGTTGTGTAGACAGGGGTGAGAAAAGAAATGTCACCTAAAATAGAAGCTATGTGGCCTTAGTGAAGGTAGAGAGAGTGTCCTACCTCTAGAATGACACATGCTCCTATAAGCCTCAAATCATGGTTTGGGTTTAGATGCAATGGAAGTGCCTTAGACAGAGATCTGTGACCAATCGCCACCTTGAGACAAAGCCTGCTCTTTAAAACTGAGCTATTCTGGGGACCTGAGAACAGGGAGCCATCACTCCTGCCATAGCTTTATATGAGAGACAGAGAAATAGGAAGGCAATACAGATGACAGGAGCATCAACTCAGGTGTTGAAGTGTATAGAGAAAGAGAGCCCACCCTTGATGGCTAAGGAGCTGACATTCTCACCTAAGTATACTTTTGGCATTTGATAACCCTTAGCCTGAGATCACTGGTTCAATAAACCTCTGGAGGCACTTCACATTGTCATAGAGGCTGAGACACTTTAGGCTTCACAGAGACATCATCTCTCTGGCCTCCACATATGTACACATGAGACAGTACACCCATGTACACACACACACACACACACACACACACACACACAGAGAGAGAGAGAGAGAGAGAGAGAGAGAGAGAGAGAGAGAGACCTTGTAGAGTAACTGGTTGGATTTAAAAACAATATGCAACTACCTATCATCTGCAAGAAATCTCTCTCATAGGTAAAGATCCTAACAGAGTAGGATATCTGTCAGCTAAGCAAGAAATTATAGCTTTAAAAAATAAAAGCAGCTACTCTGCTAACTGTTTAGGTAGACATCAAGGTAGAAGTACTCAGGAAAGATTTAAATGGTTGTGTAATGAGCAGGCAATATGGAGGGAGCAGCAGGTTAAAGCACATTCCACACAAGCCTAATAACCTGGGTTTGGTTCCTAAAACCCTTCCTGGGAGGAGAAAAGTAACTCCCTAAAATTAGTGCATGGCACACGTGTCTACGCTCACATATGTGAAAAAACTAAAACATTTAAGTGGCCTCTATCAGTGGAACAAGCCATCAGGAATATGTAATAGCTATACATATATGAACATGCATGTTGACACTCCCAGTCACATAGCACAAGCTCTGTTGGACAGAGAAGGAAAGGCACTGATTCAATGACAACGAGCTGCTTCAAACTCTACTCGGACCATCAGAGATGTCATCCAGACTGAAAAGAAACACCAGAATCAGCCTGCATTATATATCAGATCTCCTTCACAAACATTTACAGGATATTCCATGCAACAGATATGGAGGACACATTCTTCTCATCAGCTCATAAGACCTTTTCTTTGGGGTCAGAGCTCCACGGAACTGGAACTATGGGAGTTGTGTTCTGGGAATGCAATCCAGGTCCTTTGTAAAAGCAACATGTGCTCTAAACGCTGAGTAATTTTTCCAGATAAACTTTTTCTCATGGAGAGCTCATTTTAGGCCGTAGAGCAAGTCCGAAGAAATAGAAAATAACTAAAATAACTTCTGGTGTTTTTGTGGGTATACTAAAACTGGATTTCAATAGTAAGAAAACAGGAAAGGACACGCTAAGAGGGTGAACACTGAATCTGAATGACAGACTAGATAACTGAAGAAGTCAGAAAATAATTTTAGAATTCTTAGAAGGAAGCTTCTTACTGGAGAAGTTCACATCCGCACTTTAGTGTGAGCTGCCCTTTTCCTAAATGCCTGCCTTTCTATTAGCTTTCATGTTTACGTCTGTATAAAAACATAAACAAAACCATTCTTCTTAATGAGTTCTGATTCTGTTTCATAAAAACATGAATGACTTGCCAGAATTTTTGGCATGCAGATTTACCCAGTTATCCAAGAGAAAGTCTTTGGTTATTAGTGCCTGGTATCTTAAGTAGCTTAATGAGACAACAGAAACACAAAGTCGGTAAGTGGCAAGAAACAATAAAGATTAAAACAAAAATTATTGAAGCCTGGTTCAAAACAACAATACATAAAGTCAATCAAACCAAGAATTGATTTTTTGAAACTATAACAAGATTGACAAAAACCAAAAGAAAATTTGAAGAAAAAAATTGATCATATTGGAGATGGTATTCAGCCTCTTAGTACAGACTCAACTATTCCCTGGGCCATTTTCAGCCTTTTCTTCTGGCCAATAACCACTCCTTTGTGATTTCCACAGACCCACAGAACAACTCATTGCCAGGGACCCCTCAGCCACCACACTTGCCTAGGACCCAGTGCAGACAACAAGTATTGGTTTGTCTTATTAATTTTTATTTGTTTTCTTGTTCTGATTTTCCTTTGTGGATATTTTTGAGGGAGAGAGAAAAAAGTGGGAGCATAAAGTTGGATGGGTAGGAAGATGGGGAGGATCTGAGAGAAGTTGGGGAAGGGGAAGTAATATGATCAAAATATGTTATGTGAAAATATGTTTAACATGGAGGAATCAACATGGTATTGACATGAAAGCTTCATGCCTATTGGCTTGCATTCATAGTACTAGAACGTGCTGTGTACACTATCAGAGCTGAAAAGAGAATATCATATCCAACCATGAGTCCTTTGAACTATAATAAAGACTAGATTGGCAAGACATGCCCACTGATGCATGCCAATAGTGGCATGGTTGTCATGGGAGTAACCAGTCACTTTTTGATTAGATTTACTATCTATTCTACAAGTTGATGCCCACATCTGGAACTGGCCTTTGGATAGAACTATTTCATGGATGATATTAGATGTAAATTGTATTTATTATTACAGAGTAGGCACAGGTATTTCCTTGTATATCATCTGCCCCCTTGATGTGTTCTAGGCCATTAATCTCAACCCCTATATCAAGATTAGATCCTTCGTGTTCATTGGCACCTGCCGTTTTCTGTTCTGGATCCAAAATCTTGGGATGAATTCATTTAATGCTCTATTGGTGAATGCTCTGTGAAAGCAGGGAAATCTTTACTATGAAGTTATGGATCCTAATACTGGACAATGGGAGAGAAACATAGCTTGTTATATATATTCTTGTTACACTTTTCCTTGACTTCATGAATCTGGTCTTCATGGTCTATGCCAGTGGCTCCATTGTCTTTGCCTTTTACAAACATAAGCAGAGAGTCTAACATATTCACAGCCATAGAGTCTGGGGTATCCCCATAGGTCAGAGCTTTGAGGACCATCCTGGTACTGGTTAATGCTTTTGTTGCCTTCTGCTCACCTTATACTATTTGGCATTTGGGTGGCTCTAGTTGCAAACCCAAGTGGGTAGTTGGTTGACATCTCTGTGCCTGTGGCCTCTTGCTCCTCAGAATTCAGCCCCTTTGTGCTCATCAGTCTCCTACTTCTGCTTCAGAACAAAGAAAATATTTCAGTGTTGTAAGTCTGGCCTTTTGGTGACCCTTGGTCATTCACTCCATTATTGGTTTGTATCAAGATGTATTATTATTATTAGTGTGTGATGTGTGCAGATAACCATCCCCTGGCACAGATGGGATGCCAGAAGACAACTTTGTGAAGTCTATTCTCTCCTTCTAGGGATTGAACTCCGATTGCTAGTTTTGCTTAACAACACGGTTCACTTTGAACCATCTTAGTGGCCCTTGCTGATTTATTTCATTGTCTGTTAGCATTTATTAAAGTGTTAGCATATTCGGTGCCATTACAAACAAAGCTAATAATGTTCCTTTCCCCAGGGATGCAAAGATAATTCAGTGTAACTGTGGAATAGAGAATTGAATTTCAGAGAAGTCCAAGGACATTGCTATATTCAAGGAATTATGGGAAATCTCTCACTATATGTCTTACAAAGGTGTGTGGGAGATTTTTCTTGAAGAAAAGAAATGATATTGGGCTACAGAGATGATGGCTCATTTCTTAAGAGCATTTGCTGCTCTTGCACAGGACCCAAATTTAATTCCTGGAACCTACGTGTGGCACCTCATAACTGCCTGTAATTCCAGCTCTAGAGTATCCAATTACCTCTTCTGGCTGCCATGGTCACTATACCCACATGGCATACACACACAGAGACACTCACACCCACACAAAAATAAAAGGAAAAAAAGTCCTTAAAACAAAATTTAAAAAAGCAAAGACAGGAAGGGGGTACAAGTTGGAGGTGGGGGGAGGGGTAGTGTGAGCCACCTCATGAGTCCTAGAACACTGTGTTTACTTTCATGATCTTCACAGTCATATTCTCAATCTTTGAAATTGTAACATTGTTTCTTTCTTTAAACAAAAATATGATCTTCTAGCTCTTACTAATTCCATCTCTGTCATGCTTGATTTGTTTATGCCTATTAAAGAAGTCATGTACCCTATAAACATTTTTTGAAGATTTATTTATTTAAAAGTGTTTTTAAAATAAAATGAAAAATAAGGTTGGAGATGAAAATAGGAATATTGCAACAGACTCCAATAAAATCCAGAGGACCATTACAGAACATGTTCTTGAATTTTATTAGAAAAAAGTTGGATAATCTAAAAGGAATGGATAAATTCCTGGACACATATGACCTACTATATTAGTTACTTTCCTATTGCTATGATAAAATACCCTGAAAAAAAAACCACTTATAGAAGACAGAGTTTATTTTGGCTTACAGTTCTGGAGGGAGAGAGTTCATCATGCCAGGAGAGTCAGGGAAACAGGCAGGGAAATTGTGGTGGCAGGAGCAGGAAGCTTGATGATCACATTTTCATCCACACATAGAAAGGAGAGAGAGAGACAGAGACAGAGACAGAGAGACAGAGAGAGACAGAGACACAGAGACACAGAGAGACAGAGGAAAAGAGAAGGACAGAAAGAAATAGAGAGGGAGAGAGAAAGAGAGAGACAGAGACAGAGACAGAGACAGAGACAGAGACAGAAATGGAGGTGAGGTCAGGCTATAAAGCCTTCACACTAACCCCCAGTGGCATCCTTCCTCCACCAAGGCTCTGCTCCCTAAAGGTTCCATAATTCCTGCCCCCCAAACAACACCACCAGCTGGAGACCAAGTGTTCAGATATGTGAGCCTATGAGGAAAGTTCACATTCAAAACACCACACATACCAATATTAAATCAAGAATCTATAAACAGCTTAAATGTTTCCATAGTAAGACTACAGAAGGAATAGCAATAAACATCAGATGAAAGCCCTGGACTGATAGATTCTTTGCCAAATTCTACTAACCCTTTAAGTAATGCTTCTCAAAGTGTGTGACAAAATAGAAAGGGGAAAACACTACCAAACGAATTATAAGGAGTGAATAACACCCTGCAATAAAAAATGATAATTCACAACAAAAAGGAAACTACAGCTCAATTTCCCAAAAGAACATAGATACAAACATTCTCAATAAAATACTTGCAAAATGAATTCATGAATGTATTTAGATATGACCAAGTTGATTTCAATCCAGTGATTTGATGTACATTCACACTTGTTTGACATAATACAGTACATAAACTGACTTTAGGACAGCAATTGCATGATTACCATAATAGACACAGAAGAGAGCCTTGACAAAATTCAAATCATTTCATAATTAAAGAGCTGAAGAGTCTGG